CGCCCAGCCGCTCCCTGACCTCTCCTCTCACACCGCAGGGCATGCCCCTCCAGCTCCACACACCCTACAGCTCCGAGCACGCCAAGGTCCCCGTCGGCTCCATCACCATGGGCCTGCCGCTGACCATGGATCCCAAGAAACTGGGTAAGGAACTGGGAGGCGAGTGGTTTCGCATGTGCTCTGAGAGGAGCGGGGAGCAAGCTTGCCGGCAGTGTAGGGGAAAGGAGGAGCACAGGACACGGCAAGGGAGCGCAGAGGGACCTGCTAAGAGGATGAAAGGATTAGTCCGTGGGGAGAGCAGAGAGACAGGGAGCTAAATTTGTGCAGTATAGGAAAGCAGCAACTCTGTCAGGACGCATCCCAGCCTTCAAATACCCTCAGCTAATACTGTGATCGAAGGAAGGAAATATATTGCTGCTCCTCAGGCCGGTAGGATAAAGAGTAAATGGCCTGCAGCGAACAAAGAAAGTGTTTAGTCTGCAGATTTGGAAGCATTTCTTAACAGCGGGAGGGGATGGGCGAGGGACCAAGTCTCGGGGCGGGGGGAGGAGGGATACGAGCCCTGTTTCCCACTGTGCGCGGGTCCTGATACAAACCAGCACTGGGTCCTCAGTGCCAGCTCCAGTCCCAGTGTGGGCAGCACCCAGCAGTGCCTTTGCCAGGGCAAAGGATCTGGCTTTGCTCGCTGGCAGCTGTGCATTCAGCCCACTGCCGCGGCCTCGGTGAAGTCCTTCCCGAAGGGGTGGGGACAGCAAAGGTGCCGAGGAGATGCCGACCCGGGGCTGGCAGTGATGAAAGCCTCAAGCAACCGAGAGCTGCAGCCCCGTGCCCTGCACCTACGCTGATACGTGGTTAATATTTTCCAGTGCCTTTTCCTGGAGTAAAGCAGGAACAACTTTCTCCTAGAAGCCAGGCCAGCCAGCCGGAAAGTCTGGTTCTGCAGCCGTCCCAGGAGGGCTCCCTCCTGCGGGGTGAGGGCCCGGACATCCTGCGGGGTGAGGAGCCGGGGCGGGAGGCACGGTGCCCCGGCTGCGGGAGGGGAGGGATGTCGGAGCTGCCGAGCCTGGCCAACGCTGCGCTGGCCGCAGCTGCCTGCTGACTTCGGGTTTGATTTCTGGGGTCGTGCCCAGCCGAAGGGGTCTCCTCGCCCCTCTTCTCCAGCGTTGCTAGCAGGGTGGCAGAGAGGTCTGTACAACAGCTCAACGTTTCTAGCCATCTCCCTCAATCAGGGCTTCAAGCTTCGATCCTGGTGGAGGTTTTGTATTTGAGAGGCACCCCAAAATCTGTTGGTTAAGACAAAGCAAGGCCTGTTTAAGTGCCATTAATTGGTTTTCAGGCTGTTCGCTATTGCTGCTGCAGCTGGGCAGGGACCACATCTCGTCTAAATCCAGCCTTCCCATCTAAATCCAGCCCTCCCATGTTTCTTTCCCCATTAGCTAGGCAGAAGAAGACAAATGCAAAGGTGTTGCTTTTAAGTGCAAATTCTGGGTTGTGAAACCCCCCCAGCTAAGGCAGTCGGATGCAGGGAGTGCGACGGACTCGCTCCGCCCGGCACAGATAACACCCCGATGAACTCAAACCTCCCTGAGCCGCATCTCACCGGAGATCTGCTCTGATCGCACCAGGAGAGGCTGAGACACACTGTGCTTTCTCCCAGGCCCATAAATCTGCCCAGCCCCTCCACAAAGGCAGCACATAGATGATAGCTTCAAAATACCCATTTTTTTTTCGTGCTCGCAGGGCTGGGTTCCTCGAGGGACAGGGAGGGAAGGGCTCTGCAAGGTGTGGGATTTAACGCTGACGTCTCTTGGAGGGCTTCCCCTCCAGTACCTCAGCTTGCTAGAGATTGGGTCAAATCCTGCACTTAGTGAGTAGCCTCAGCCCCATGGGTTTTGTGCCGAACCACAAATCCAGCCCCCAGCTCACTGGCTTTGTGTCCCACAGGTACTTCCCTCAGCTCTGCCTCGGGAGGGAGCATCACCAAGGGAACGCCCACATCCAGACCCCCTCCGGAGTCACCCATCACCTACCGAGGGTCCATCACACACGTAGGTCCCTCTTCTCTGGCGGGTTTTGCTTACCTGGGTGCTGACTGCTGCAGCTTGGGGTGCTGGCCGTGGGGACGGGGGCTTCGCGGGGCGTGCTGGGCGTGTGGCAGGGGGGTGGGCAGCACGGCTCTGCGATGCTCCCGGCCCATGGAGCCCCTCGGAGAGGTCTGCGGCCGGCGCCTTTGCAAACAGCCTCTGCGGCACGAGCCCTGTCCCGTGGGCAGAGCCTGCAGAAGAGCAGAGCTCGGCAAGCAGCGATGCAGAGCCTTAGAGCACGTCTGAACCCCGCTTTGCTTCCCGTAGCTGTCAGGAACAACAGCGAAAGCAGCTTTAAATGGCTCTGGGAAAATAATCTGGCCAGTGCAAGAAAGTGGAGCGGAGAGGAGGAGGAGGCAGGTGGAGGGTCCCGTCTGGGCAGAGCAGAGGGGGAGGCTGCAAGGCGCTTGTAAGGTAGCGAGGTCTCCTGCCAGGGCTGAGCGTGCTGCGCTGGGGGTCCTGCCCGAACGCTCTCTCGAGCAGGAAGATACTTTGGCTTTAATCTCCACCATCCATCTTCGGAAGCAAGCGGGTGATAGTTTTTTGCAGTGTGAGTTATTGCTCATCTGGTAACAGAGCGGAGAGCATTAAAAAAAAAATTAAATCTGTTTCCCGTGAGGATTTTATCTGGCCATCACTCAGGTATTTAAAGCCACTCACGCTCAGATTTTTGCCTGCCTCCTTCAAGGAGGGTGACCGTGTTCCCTTTGGCCCTGGGGACCGGAGCCTGAATCCTGGCCCGGAGTAAAGGCTTCTCTTGCCTGGTGCCCTGCATCCTGCAGCCGCCAGGAGCCGATGCTCGAGGGCCGTACGTAGCCCGTCAGAGCAGGTGCCTGCTCCATCCCCTCGTATGCCCCTGCAGCAGCTGTGGACAGCAGTAGGTGGGCATGAAGGCTGTAGAGCACCGTGTGCCAGAGATCAGAAGATGAACAGAGTTTGTTGAGATGCTATTTTACATCCAGCTAATTCATCCATCTAGTTTCCTTTGGCTTGGGAAAAAGGCAGTACCTGCCTCTCCTGCTGGCCCAGCAGCCAGCATCCCTCTGCTCCCACTGGGCAGGAGGAGCCCCCCGTTCCAGCATCAGCTCAGGGTACCAGAGCTGATACTTGATCTCAGATTAGTCATCCAGTTTGCAGAAAGCAGATCTTGAATATATGCTCTCTGCTCTGAAGCCATCTGTCATCACTTGCTTTCAAATCCCCTCTGAGCACGTCCGCGGAAGGAAGGTGACTTACCTGGCGCTGGGAGAACTGCCTGGGAAAGCCGGTACCGGGTGTACCGCGAGGGTGAGCGATCAGAGCATTGAACCTGCATGCCGGCACGTCCCGGCAGCTGCGGCGGGGTTTTGGGGACTGCTGGTGTTCAGAGGGGTTGGCACAGAGCAGGGGCATCTCCAGGCTGGGGTGGGGAAACGGTCTGCATGGGCACAGCCTGGAAGCACCAGCGAAGCTGGGTGGGCATCGCTTCTCTGAGGCTTCCACGAGTCCTGGGGCTTGGTGGGGCCGAACGAGCAGAGCAGGAGGGCATCAGTCAAGAGCTTTGCTCTGACAGCATCGCCACCACTGCACCTTCCCTGCGGTGGGGTGGGGGACTGTCACCCCACGGTGGCTGTTCCCGGTTGGCACCGACAGGTTGTGGTGGCAAAGGGGTGTTCCATCACCAGCGACACCTTCAAGGGCATCCAGCTCTGGGAGTTTCGAAGGAGGTTCGGACAGGGGCAGGCGGCTGTGAGCTGTGTCCGTGTGTGCCCGCGGGGAAAGAGGGGTTTCGGTTCACACCAGTTTGTGTAAGGATCCTGTTTGTGCTGGAGAGCTGACCGGCAGGCTTCGCTCCCCGACCTGCGGCAGGA